CAATTGTTTTTTCTTTTCTTTTCTTTTTTGAATTAAGAAAGATAAAATGGGTATTTGTGTCCCATTATATGATTTTGTTTGTAATTTTATTTTTTTTAATATAAAAAAGTATAAATTTATCATATTGTCCTCACTTTTCTATTATGCCATCAATCCGCTAACGAACAAATTCAATTTTCTATTATGTCCACACATAATAGCAATATTTAGCATAAACATTATTTATTGGATATGTAATTGAAATTTCTATAACAATTGGTTAAAAGCTAGTTCATTGCCTGGAAAGAAAGACTTCAAAAAACACTTCAAGCTCTGCTTGATTTTGGTCGTCAGCAGGCCCATTTCAGCCCAGTTAAAAATAAAAAATAAAAAACCGCGTATAGCCGGGCGGCTCTGCTATTTATAAATAAAAAAGCGCGTATAGCCGTGCGGCTATACTATTTATAAAACCAGTTCCGCCAAGAGACTAGGCACGCACGTGTCAAAATAAATATAGCCGCGCGGCTATACCGTTTTTGGAAACATTGATAACAAACCGCGTATAGCCGCGCGGCTATACTATTTATAAATATATTTAAAAAAACCCCTAGCGATTAGGGGCCTATGTGTCAAAATAAGTATAGCCGGTCGGCTAGACTGGTAAGTAAGGGTATAGCCGCGCGGCTATACTATTTAAGAAATAAGGACTTTTTATCTTTTGTAATTTTCCTGCATCTCTTTTCTTCATTTTTGTTTCACATCTGCATTATTTAATGGAAAAACATAAACAAACAAGGACATAGCACAACGGTTATTTAAGCGCATAAAAAAAAACAATGGTTATTTAAATTTGAAGGTAAATGCGTATAAGAAATTACTTTGAATTTTTTCGAGTTTTGACAAAACCCAATTTGTAGGTCAGGTGAGACAAATTATATAACATAATATAACCACCAAGGGAATGAAGAAAATCTCAGTATCAGAAGAATCCACCACCAACCTCAACTGCTGGATCAAATATATTTTTCATTCGCTTGGAACACCAACTGTATCTATAGAAGGAAGAGTAGCAGTAGGAATAGCAACACCAAGTCCAGCGGTGATGCAGCTCCCAGGAGTGGTGCCGTTGGTAAAGAAACACCGGTGCTATTGACAGCGGGAGTGCCTAGGGGACCAGAAATACTGCATACAAAGCCAATGTAAGACCAACTAAAACAATTCAAAATAGAATAAAGTGCTCAGAAAATACCAACCCTGATCCAGAGCCACTGCGATCCAATTTCTGCATGAGAATTTATCGAGAGCGGGCATTCAATGACTGTAAGATTAATAAAACAATACGTCAATCACCTTCACTCAGGTCAACAACAAAAATTATGCAGTGCAGACACTCTTTCTATGCCAAACTATCACCCTTGTCTTTGCAGTGCTGATGTCTGCAATGCCTTGAGAGACAATGCATATCTTACTAGTTAAAGCAATAATCTGCTAGCAACCAACAGGAGTTGGTCCAAGTGGAAGGGGCTTGGATCCTTTAAACAAGAGGTCCTGGGTTCGATCCCAGGCGCTTGCGAATAGAGCAGACTTTGTTGGGAGAGGTCCCCGCTTTGCGCCCGATAGTACCTCGAGGGTTAGTCCCCGCAATCGCGCGGGGATACCTTGGTTTTCACCAAAAAATAATCTGCTAGCAAAAAAAACAATCTTAAATGAGCAATCTTTCCAATATCTGCTAGTTAAAAAGCTGGCAGGAGTACAAGAGATGGTAGTTCAAATTATTTTTTGAGCAGCCAAAAAGCTTCAAAGCAATGGAGCAGCAGCAGCTTCCATACATTCAACAATTATTCCCAGACATTGTTGAGCCAGAGCAAACAGTTCTTAGCAATCATATCAGTCCACAAATTCTTTGTGTTAATAGAAAATAAAAACATAAAAGGAAAGATCTTACTAACCAAGCCCCCACCTTCATCGTCATCAAAATCACCAGCATTTGCTCCAAGATCTTGCATTCCAGCTTGGTCTGTAACAGCTGACACCTAAATAGAAAAATGAGGACTCGGGTCGAGTAGATGAACTCCCAAATTACTTAATATATGTGGTTTTAAGCAAAATCATCCTTTTGGGAAACCATAAGGATGCGCAATTATAGACCAAAATCATGCAAAATTAAAGAATATATCAAACAAAACTTTAATAATTATCTGACTTTTTCTTTTGTATTTTCTGTAATCTTGATATTTAAAAAGTAACTTCAATATAGGCCCACTTTTAATACAATGTTTAAGCCCATTTTACAAAACCCAACCCGTTAGTTAAAATAAATATTTATGACCAAAAAAAAAAGTTATATTAAAAATAAAGTCAGATATCTTCTTCCCCAGCGAGAACTCCTTCCCAGCGCCGCCTTCTCCTTCCTCTCTAGATCTCTCTCTCGGTTTTTCTTCCTAACAAGCAGCACCTCAGCGCCTCCTTACGCGTCGCCGCCTCCTGCGCGCTTCAACCGCGCCTCGTCGGCTCTTCAACGGCAAAACGCCCGCCCAGGCCGCCTAGGCCGCCTAGGAGGGCGACCAGGCCGCCTAGGGTGCCTAGTCTGGCGCCCAGGAGCTGCCTAACTCCCTGGCGCCTACCCCTAACGAGTAGGGTGAAATCGCGGCGGTGTCCTCCCGCCTAGCGCGCCTAGGCGGCCTCCTAGGCCGATTTTTCGAACCTGCTGAACCTCCGCGGCATTGAGGCATTGACAGCATTTGCAGTGATCATGATCATTAAAAGGCTGATTTATTATTTTCCTATGGCTCTACACACAACATGTGGATATGGCAATACAGCAGCAGAGTTTGAAGTAGTGTAAATTGAGAATGAAAAAGAAATTTAAACCTGTCCTCAACTTTTGAGGATGGTTTCCTTCATTTTTCAACCACCAATATCAAAGCAATTGTTAATCAAAACTTAGAGAAGAGCTGGCTGAAACAAATCCGCAATAGCAGAGAATTATAGTACAAACTATTAATATCATACAGGTTCCTATAATTTTCATGCTTTTAAGAGCCTGGCTCGTTCAAAACATGATTTCTCTCAAGAGACTGACTCGTTCAAAACTATAAAACTCAGAGAAAAGAGAGGAAAAGATTAGCAGCCAGCCAGCCATCATCACATCAGCCAAGGCAGAACAACTGCGAGAGAGTAGGAAGATCCCATAAAGCATCACTTCCATCATACTCATTGTCCACATACTCATTCCCTCCATTCATTGCATAAATCGAAGCTGATATCTGCCTCTCTACCTTTAAGCGCTCAAACTCCGTCACCTCTGCCTCTGCCTCTGCCTCTGCTGCTGCAACATTACCAACGCCTTTTGTGAAGTCCATCCCTTCATGGGTTAGTGGAAGCTGATCAAACCCAGCTAGGAACGGCCATGACTGATCCAAATGAAACATAGCCGGTTGAAGCTCCCCAATGCAGTTGCTAAGGTCTGGTCTATATGCATCATCAAACGCTTGAATGTCCTGGCTTTTGTAGCAAGGCAGAGAAGAACTAGAATTAGCATTGCAGTTGGCTGATGAAGTGTCACTAAACGCTTGAACATTGCTGCTACAAATGCTAGAGCTAGAACTAATTCTAGTAGTTGTAGCAGCTATAGAGGTGGATTTTAAGCTGCTGTTGGGGGTTGGTGGAGAGCTTTGTTTTTGCTTCAAATTCAAACTTTTCTTGTGGTTGAGGAGATTTCTGATTTTCAAAGAGAGTGGAGAATTGGAAGGGACGTGAGTGGAGAAGTTGGTTCGGGTGTTGGAGCCGCGAAGAAGATAAGCAGCTTCATCATAAGCTCGAGCAGCTTCCTCAGCAGTCTCAAAGGTTCCCAGCCACATTCTTATCTTCTTTGTTGTGTCCTTGATCTCTGCCACCCACTTCCCTGATGGCCTTTGTCTCACCCCAACGAACTTGCATTTGGTCTTCAACTTGCTTTGTTTGTTGGCCGAGACCGAGACCCCTTTTTCCTTTTGCTGCTTTGGGGCTTCTTCATGTTCTTCTTCCATGGCAGATATGTTGGTTGAAGAGAGATTTTGTCAATCACTGAGAGAGCAAAATGGTGGGTTGTGAGTTATATAAGCCTTTGTTGGTAGTAGTGGGTGGCTCGTTTTCTTTCTCATGTCAGCATATGTCGATTTGAGTTTGTTTCTAACTGAGGATGACTGAATTATCAAAGTTCGCTCAAGACTAAATCATACATTAGTTATTTGGTTATTTTTACTTGTGTTTCTTCTCCCTGTAAAGTTCGCTCAAGACTAAATCATACATTAGTTATTTGGTTATTTTTACTTGTGTTTCTTCTCCCTGTCTCTGTCTCTGTCTCTGTCTCTATGGGAAATGCAATCCATTCCTTTCCTTCATTTTCTTTTCTTTTATAGAAAATCTTTTGCCTTTGCCTCCAAATAATATAAGCACCAATCCAAAACCCACAAAGTGATAAGTTAAGAAGGTGATAAATAAGTATAAAGAAAAATAAAATATTAAATAAATAAAAAAAGAAGATAAAATAAGTGACAACTTGAGAAGTCAAAGCATGGTTAGAAGTAGTAGGGCAGAGGGCGGGAGTAGTTGTCGTCACTCCTCACCACCACTTGGTCAACGGAACCAAGAAGCAAAATTCGTGAGAGCACGAAGGCATGACACATGGCGTATATAGAAAGGGAAACGACAGCTCGCATTGGATTTGTATACAATGAATTTGATGGGAATCTCATTGTGCACGCTGTGTTTGGTGGAATCTTTCTTTTGACATTACACACCAAACACTTGCTTGCTGCATTGCGTTAACAAACATGCTGCTGCCTACAATACAAATTAATCATGTATTCATAAAAAGATAAAAACCAAAAAACAAACAGAGAATAAATTGAGTTCGAACCAATTCTTTAAGAATATTAAGCTAATTTAATTGATATAGTTCAATTCAGACCGAGTCATCAAACGAGGACAACGCTCAACTTCATCGGATTCCAACTTCAGGTAGAGGGTCAGATGATAGAACCTAGTTTGAATAAGTTGTTCGCGTCCAACAGAAGCATTTTGCATCAAGTTAAAACGAGTTGAACCCAACCAACCAATAAAGTTTACCCAGCAACTCATTTGCTCATTTTTGCATTCTTGCTTAAAGCAATGGAACCAGAAAATATGATAATTTTTGGGTGATCCTAAATTATGCGGATGTAATGTAACAGAAACTTTGATTTACTCTGCACAATCAAATCAAAGTTCTTCACAAACACACTCAGAATTATTATAAAATGTCGGTGCAATAAAAAATGGATCCAACACAATAGCATACCATAAGCCAATTTATTGCCTTTTGGGATCAAGATTGCAAACATAATGAAAGAATTGCCATCGATAGTTTAGTCAACGGATTCTCATAATGGAGGCGTAGGAAACACCAAAACACAAGAAGACCAAAACTGATACAAGAATTTTCTCACCAACAACCCTCAGAACCTTAGGCACCACCAAAAACCAAAAAGAACAAGCGCACAAACCACAATTACCTGCCTTTCTTTCTTCTTTTGGACTCAAAATTGCACTAATAATTAACACTTGACACTTGCATATACACATCCTACAAAAAAGGGTTTGATTGAACAGATCGCAATCATGACTTCCACGTTTAATCAGATGCTGGCTTGCTGTAAAACTTTACGCAAAAATGACTGATGGGTACCATCTTATGGAAAAGAATTGGTGACAGATGCAACTAACACACAAGACAGGGACGGTGTATCTGAAAGCAGCAATATGCACACTGCAAGGCCAACATACTATGAGGAGAGGATAGATTGCAGTGCAAGCTGTTGCTGGGGTTGTAAGGAGGACCAAGTGGAGGCCAAGGTAGCTGGTGGCAAAGTCTGCTGAAGCTGCCGTAATAGATTTATCATCCGGCTTGCAGTTTGTTCTGTTGCTAAATCCTTGCCAGCACAAAGAACCTACAGGAACAATCATAACCCTCAGAGGAAATATTCAGGGAAGCTTGAAGATGTATTACATGGAATGAATCTGCATTTAATGGTGCCATCTTATTGCGCAAATATATTGTTTTGCAGGTTGTTACAATTATCAGCAAGACGAGAAAAATAAAGCAATTAGATTTAGGTTCTACTAGTTAGTTAATCAGTCCCCAATCTTGCCACATGAATATTGCTTAATTAACCAAGATGTAC